AGGATCCCCATAATACACACACACACACACACACACACACACACACACAGAGCATCCCTACCACACACACACACACACACACACACAGAGCATCCACATCATACACACACACACACAGCATCCACATCATACACACACAGCATCCCCATAATGCATATACACACACACCCAGGATCCCCATAATACACACACACACACACACACACAGAGCATCCCTACCACACACACACACACACACACATACAGCATCTGCATCTGCATCATACACACAAACAGCATCCCCACCACATACACATACACGCATATACAGCATCACCATAATACACACACACACACAGAACATCCCAACCACACACGCAGTGTCCCCACCACACACACACACACACACACACACACACTCAAACACAGCAGCCTCATCATACACACCACACACACACACACACACAGTATCCCCACCATACACACACACACACACACACAGTGTCCCCATCATACACACCACACACACACACACAGAGCATCCCCATCATACACACACACACACACACACACACACACACACAGTATCCCCATCATACACACACACACACACACACACACACACACACAGTGTCCCCATCATACACACCACACACACACACACACACAGAGCATCCCCATCATACACACACACACACACACACACACACAGTATCCCCATCATACACACACACACACACACACACACACAAACTGTGATCCCTCTGAGGCTGTGTGTGTGTTCATCTGAGAGTCATCCACAGTGCTCTGCACGTGAGAAGCACACACAGAAGTTTGTTGGGTGAAGCAACTCTTTTGTTTAAATCAAGCAGTAGGCCTGCACTCCGTCAGACAGAACATACTAATGTAAAAGTTATGTTCCAGCTGAAACCCGTGTCTTTCAGAACAAGGTAGAACTCTAGTAATGTGATTATTTCCAGCTCTGTGCTAGATATTTCGTGTCCATCCTCTCTGATTCCCTTTAGCCTCCTGCCAAGTAGGTGATATAGCCCAGTGATAGATCAGGAAACTGAGGCTCAGAAGAGAGACAGCTTGACCCCTTGACTCGAGTGGCTGGTGTTGAGATCCAGGGTTTGAGCTGAGCTCTTCCCTGGTGTAGACGTCTCTTTGCCTCCCTAAATGTCTCAGCTTCATGTTTTGGCCTAACCATCCACACGCCATGACAGCTGTGGTTTAGGGCATGATCCTGAACTTGATGAGATCAGAAAGGGAAGGATGTTGACCTCCTCAATCACGTGGAAGGCAACCAGGTGGCCAGCTGTTAGGAAATGCAGTGTTCACATCCCTGCTCCCTCGAGGTAAATTGGTGCAGCCACTATTTTTAAGGAGGAGCCTTAAAAACTAAAAATAGAGTTGCCATATGATCTAGCAATCCCACTACTGGGTACATATCCAGAGAAAACCCAGCACCCCAGTGTTCATAGCAGCACTATTTACAATAGCCAAGATACAAAAGCAACCTAAATGTCTATCAACAGATGAATGGATAAAGAAAATGTAGTGTGTATATATATATACATATATATATACACATACAATGGAATATTGCTCAACCATAAAAAAGAATGAAAATGCCATTTGCAGCAATATGGATGGACCTAGAGATTATCATGCTAAGGGAAGTAAGTTAAACAGAGAAAGACAAATATCATATGATATCACTTACATGCAAAATCTAAAATATGATACAGATGAATTTATTTACAAAATGGAAACAGACTCACATAGAAAATAAACTTATGGTTACCAAAGGGAGAAGCAAGGGAGGAGGGATAAATTAGGAGTCTGGGATTAGCAGATGTAAACTACTGTACATAAAATAGATAAATGACAAGGGCAGCTATATTCAATGTCCTGTGATAAGCCACAATGGAAAAGAATATGAAAAAGAACATATAAATAGACAAGTAGAGATATATAACTGAGTCACTTTGCTGTACACCAGAAATTAACATGATGCAAATCAATTATAATTCAAGAAAAAAAATTTTTTTAGAGAATTAAACGCCCTCAACACTGTTTGTCATGGAGTATTTTGTAAGTCTGGGTGCTTATCTGTTCAGGTATTTCTTTGTGAGATAAATTCAGTTCAGTCGCTTAGTCATGTCTCACTCTTTGAGACCCCATGGACTGCAGCACGTCAGGCTTCCCTGTCCATCACCAACTCCCAGAGCTTGCTCAAACTCATGTCCATCAAATTGGTGATGCCATCCAACCATCTCCTCCTGTCTTCTCCTTCTCCTCCTGCCCTCAATCTTTTCCAGCACCAGGGTCTTTTCTAGTGAGTCAGTTCTTCCCATCAGGTGACAAAGTATTGGAGTTTCAGCTTCAGCATCAGTCCTTCCAGTGAATATTCAGGACTGATTTTCTTTACAATTGACTGGTTGGATCTCCTTGCTGTCCAAGAGACTCTCAAGAGTCTTCTCCAACACCACAGTTCAAAAGCATCAATTCTTTGGTGTTCAGCTTTCTTTTTAGTCCAACTCTCCCATCCATACATGACTACTGGAAAAACCATAACCTTGACTAGACAGACCTTTGTTGGCAAAGTAATGTCTCTGCTTTTTAGGATGCTGTCTATGTTGATCATAGCTTTCCTTCCAAGGAGCAAGTGTCTTTTAACTTCATGCCCGTAGTTACCATCTGCAGTCATTTTGGAGCCCCCAAAAACAAAGCCGCTCACTGTTTCCATTGTTTCTCCATCTATTTGCCATGAAGTGATGGGACCAGATGCCATGATCTTAGTTTTCTGAATGTTGAATTTTAAGCCAACTTTTCACTCTCCTCACTCCCTTTCATCAAGAGGCTCTTTAATTCTTCTTCACTTTCTGCCATAAGAGTGGTGTCATCTGCATATCTGAGGTTATTGATATTTCTCTGGGCAATCTTGATTCCAGCTTGTGCTTCATCCAGCCTGGCATTTCACATTATGTACTCTGCATAGAAGCTAAATAATCAGGGTGACAATATACAGCCTTGACGTACTCGTCTACCAATTTGGAACCAGTCTGTTGTTCCATGTCCAGTTCTAACTGTTGCTTCTTGACCTGCATACAGATTTCACAGGAGGCAGGTCAGGTGGTCTGGTATTTCCATCTCTTTTAAGAATTTTCCACAGTTTGTGGTGATCCACACAGTCAAAGTCTTTGGCATAGTCAATAAAGCAGAAGTAGATGTTTTTCTGGAACTCTTACTTTTCCTGTGATCCAACAGATGTTGGCAATTTGATATCCAGCTCCTCTGCCTTTTCTAAATCCAGTTTGAACATCTAGAAGTTCATGGTTCAAGTACAGTTGAAGCCTGGCTTGGAGAATTTTGAGCATTATTTTGCTAGCGTGTGAGATGAGTACAATCGTGCGGTAGTTTGAACAATCTTTGGCATTGTCTTTCTTTGGGATTGGAATGAAAACTGACCTTTTCCAGTCCTGTGGCCACTGTTGAGTTTTCCAAATTTGCTGGCATGTTGAGTGCAGCACTTTCACAGCATCATCTTAATAGGATTTGGAATAGCTCAACTGGAATTCCATCACCTCCACTAGCTTTGTTTGTAGTGATGCTTCCTAAGGCCCACTTGACTTTGCACTCCAGGATGTCTGGCTCTGGGTGAGTGATCACACCATCATGGTTATCTGGATCATGAAGATCTTTTTTGTATAGTTCTTCTGTGTATTCTTACCACTTATTCATATCTTCCACTTCTGTTAGGTCCATACCATTTCTGTCCTTTATTGTGCCCATCTTTGCATGAAATGTTCCCTTGGTATCTCTAATTTTCTTGAAGAGATCTCTAGTCTTTCCCATTCTATTGGTTTCCTCTATTTCTTTGCATTGATCACTGAGGAAGGCTTTCTTATCTCTCCTTACTGTTCTTTGGAACTCTTCATTGAAATGGGTATATCTTTCCTTTTATCCTTTGCCTTTAGCTTCTGTTATTTTCTCAGCCATTTGTAAGGTCTCCTCAGACAACCATTTTGCCTTTTTGCTTTTCTTTTTCTTGGAGATGGTCTTGATCACTGCCTCCTGTACAGTGTCATGAACCTCTGTCAATAATTCTTCAGACCCTATCAGATCTAATCTGATAATCTGTCTTTTGTATCTGTTTGTCACTTCTACTATATAATTGTAAAGGATTTGATTTAGGTCATACTTGAATAGTCTGGTGGTTTTCCCTACTTTCTTCAATTTAAGTCTGAATTTGGCAATAGGGAGTTCATGATCCAAGCCATAGTCAGCTCCCTGTCTTGTTTTTGCTGACTGTATAGAGCTGCTTCATCTTTGGCTGCAAAGAATATAATCAATCTGATTTCGGTATTGACCACCTGGTGATGTCCATGTGTAGAGCCTTCTTTTGTGTTGTTGGAAGAGAGTGTTTGCTATGAACAGTGCATTCTCTTGGAAAAACTCTGTTAGCCTTTGTCTTGCTTCGTTTTGTACTCCAAGGCCAAATTTGCCTGTTACTCCAGGTGTCTCTTGACTTCCTACTTTTACATTCCAGTCCCCTATAATTATCTTTGTGAGATAATTTGATCAATATCCATCTCCCCGTCAGGTGGTAAACTTGATGAGGACAGAGACACTGACTGTTTTGCTGGCAGGACTTCCTCTGCTCCTGGGCATGATGGCTGGTCCACCAGTGGGCATTCACTACTTATATATGCATGAATGATGTGTGGGGCTCACCTACTGTGTGAACTTGGAAATTATATACATGATCTCCTGTGGATTTCACAAGGAGCCACGAGGTAGGAATTATTATTTCCATTTTACAGATAAAGAAACCGAGGCTTTGGGGGTTGAGTAGTTCATCAGAGCCACCTGAGGCGGGTGTGGACCCAGCCTGCGGGCTCCCAGACACAGCATTCTGCTCCTGCACGTCTCCTTGGTCTCCCTGGTTCCCCTCTGTCCCTGGACATCCCCCCCTTCCGCATCGCTAACTGGGTCTGTGCTGTGCTTGTTTGCAGGCTGAGGAAGCAGCAGGGGCAGGGTGGCCAGCTCTCGGACACGGAAGGCCGAGCCGGGAGCCAGGCCCCGGGCAAGCTCCAGGACGGCTGTAACAACAACATTCTGGCCCATGCCTGTTCTCGTGGCTGCAGCAGCTAAGCCACCACCTGCGGCTTCCAGTGGGACTGCACACACCTCTGCCCTGCCCACTGAAAGCCCCTCTCTGTGCCGCGATGGTCCCCGTCTCACCCCAGATAACATCAGATGCAGAAAGCCCTGGGCTCAGAGCGGGGGAGCCTGGGTTCTGGTCCCAGCTGCCCAGCTCATTCCCGGCACATCTGTGGACAAGCCTTGCCCTTTCTCTGCCTCAGTTTTCCACATCTGTCAAAGGGGTTACACAGCTCTATGCCCCACCTCTGATTACAAAGTTATCGGAAGAATCCAATTGGGTAGTGGACATGCAGAACCTTTGACATTTATGACATTATTTATACAGGCGAAATAGAACCGCAATATTTGGAGTGCACTCCCATCTCCTAAAGCAACTAGACATTCACAACTTTGCAATTCGGTCTACCCTGGGTCTTCAGAGCATACTTCTGAAAATGCAGCCCTTAATCATCTGATGCATTTTCCCTGCCTATGGAAACACGATCCCCCAATCCTGGAGCAAAACCGGAAGTGTCCTCTTTTGCCTCCTCTGCCAGGCCAGTCTTTCTGACGTTCTAAGTTGGCCTGCCACTGTCCCCACCTTTAATTGCAGCAGGTCTCCACTCCCACCCCATCCCCAGTGCTGGGATGGCAGGAAGATACCCATTCAGAAGGTCAAGTCAATGACCATTGGTCACCCCTAAAGAATGTCAGCAGAGTTCCTCCCAAAACCCAGTCCCAGGGCAGAACTCTGAGTCTCTGTCTCCATGCAAGTTTCCTTTCCTGGAAGGGGTGACATCATCTCATCAGCACAGTCTTAAAGAGGGTCTGCAATTGCCATCAAGGAGGCTGCTCCACACTGATAAACTAAGAAGCCCAGTTGGTTAGAAAGTTTACGGTAGGAGGATGGTGGGCTCATGCTAAGAGCAAACTACTTGATGAGCTGTTCAGGGAGCACTTTGGTTTTGAATTGGGAGATGCTTTTAGCAACCAGGAATAAAGCTTAGACTTGGAATCAGGACTTTGATCAGAATCCAGCCCTGCTGTTTACTAACCGGAAGACCTCAGGCAATCATATAATCACTTCAGTGTCAGTTTTCTTGTTTTAAAATAGGGTTTAAAAAAACTAACCCCTGGGGTTGTTAAAAGGTTAATTAAGATCCTGTGTGTGACATACCCAAACTACTTTGTAGCAGTTTTTGGTCAAGGTTATAATCAACATAATTTCAAGAAACTTTCCTGTTTCACTCATTGGGCAGGTCAGTTTTCTGTAGAAACAAGCCTGGTTGTTTTCAATTATTTGAACTCATCTTTCTGGAGTCTCTGATATTTGTGCATTCCTGTGAAAATTTCAGCTGTATTTTTATTTTTCATCCAACCTTCACTATTTACATCATAAATCTCTTAGATTTCTTAAGAGACATTTTCATATATCACTGGTTTATGTTTTTATTTGAAAAAAGGAAAGACATGATCATTGTTTTCCTCCTTCAAACCCAGGCTGTTTCTAGATGGTATTGTCCACGTGTCCACTTTTTTGTACACTTTTCATTCTTTGCTCCCTGTGGGCACCATCCTGTCCCCTGCAGGAAATAACGGGGCTGCTTCTCTCTTACTGTGACTGTGGCTACACTGAGGGTGTCTCACTGGACCGAGTTCATGAACTAGGGGCAGGAGCTGGAAGTAGCCCGAGACACTGGATTTCCTGGCTCTGTTCAAGTCAGCCTTGTTCCTTGTTCAGAATAAACTATTTCTTGGAGATTTCCTTCTTACAACTTTGTTCTTATTCATGGTTGGGTGAGATGGGCAATGTCCCCTAAGAGTCAAATTCAGTGAGGAATGTAAGAAACTGGGGGCAGGGACATAGGGAGTATATCAAGTCAGTGACGTGTTTCCTTTGCCCACAGAATAAAACCAAGCTTGGCAATTTAAGGCTCAGTCCAACCTGATCACAATTCACATTATCATCATCACCACCATCATCATTATCATCATCATCATCATCATCATCACCATCATCACCACCACACCACCATCATCACCAGCACTATCGTCATCACCGTGATCATCCCCATCGCCATCCTCATCACCATCAGAAGCAGCAGCAGCATCATTACCATCATCGTTATCATCACCGTCATCATCATTACCATCACCATCATCACCGCCACTATCAGCACCACCATCACCATCATCATCACTGTCGTCATCTCATCGTTATTTCACACACGCAAAGATACAACCTATTTAATAGAGGAAAATACAGAAAATTCTCCACCTAAAGAGAAACACTCTTAAAGTTTCCTCAAATTACCACTCAAACGCCGCTCAGTATGTCCGACTCTTTGTGACCCCGTGGACTGTAACCTCCCAGGCTCCTCCGTCCATGGGATTCTCCAGGCAAGAATACTGGAGTGGGTTACCATTTCCAGGCAAGAATACTGGAGTGGGTTACCATTTCCTTCTCCAGGGGATCTTCCCAACCCAGGGATCGAGCCCGGGTCTCCCGCATTGCAGGCAGATGCTTTGACCTCTGAGCCACCAGGAAAGCCCTGACAGCACACACATGGGTGCAGATGAACAGTATCTGCTTTACTGTTACAGATTCCTTAACTTGCCGCCTCCCTGCTTTTGACGACTTGCCTCTACTACCTGGGACCCTTTCAGCCCCCATCTCGACATTGGCATCTCAAAATATGTGACTTTCATGGGCCAACTCCACCCCCTCCGTGATGCCTCCTGGGTCTCATGGCAGCCCTGACCCAAGTCAGATATCATCTTCCCCACACACCGCCTCACACATTTTCTGTGACTTTCTTACAGCTCTGATCTTGCCAACTGCATGACAGGGTTACCTTCAACCATGACCCATCCTCTTTTTCACCAAACTCCTAAGAGAGGTCAGGCTCTCGTGCCTACCTCCTCACACTTCCCATGTGCAGTCCTGAAAGCACCTGTTTCACAGGAGGCAATCATTTATTGGGGCTCCCCAGATGGCTCAGTGGTAAAGAATCCACCTGCAAATGTAGGTAGAGCTGGGTTTGATCCCTGGGTCAGGAAGATTCCCTGGGGAAGGAAATGGCAACCCACTCCAGTATTCTTACCTGGAGAATCCCATGGACAGAGGAACCTGGTGGGCTACAGTCCATGGGGTCACAAAAGGGGAGGACACAAGTTAGCAACTAACCAACAACAGCTAATAAATTGGGGATGAATGAGATAAAAGCAAGTCCAACACAAACTCTCCAAGTGGGTGAAGCTTGCTTTTGGCAGCAACCTATCTGGCCCCACTGCCATCTCCCAGGCCTTTTTTTTTTTTTTATCTCCCTGTCCCAGTGGTTTCCCAGAAGCTGCCTCTCCCAGACCCACCAGTGAAATGCCCAGTCACTCTCCCATCCCCTTTAGAGACAAATCACCTGAGTTTCAAGTTTCAGATGAATTTTCCCTCCTCCTTCATCCAAACCTCCATTCCCAGAGTGCAGAGCCCCAGGCCAGTTGTCAGGAAAGCAATCCAATAAAAGAAATATGTGCCCAAGAACTTGCATGAGGAGTCACCTGATGATTTGAGATTTAGGCACAGAGGGACAAGCTGTAAACTGGTAACACTGACAGGGCTTTCCCATCTCCGTTGAAATATATTTCAGTCTTCTCATGCCAGTAAGTAAAAATTACTCACATTTATAGTAAAAGTAATGGGCTTCCCTCATAGCTCAGTTGGTAAAGAATCTGCCTGCAATGCAGGAGACCCCAGTTCAATTCCTGAGTCAGGAAGATCCACTGGAGAAGGGAGAGGCTACCCAATCCAGTATTCTTGGGCTTTCCTTGTGGCTCAACTGGTAAAGAATCCGCCTGCAATGAGGGAGACCTGGGTTCGATCCCTGGGTTGGGAAGATCCCCTGGAGAAGGGAAAGGCTACCCACTCTAGTATTCTGGCCTGGAAAATTCCATGGACTGTATAGTCCATGGGGTTGCAAAGAATCAGACATGACTGAATGACTTTCGCTTTCACTTTCATAGTAATAGTAAACTCTAAGCCACATGCTTCCCACTTACTAACAGAATTAGTCATTATATTGTCCAGAATTGACTCAGATTTGCTTGAGTGACCACAAAGTACTTTCACGTTAACCAGAAGGGCCCCTCCCCACTAGCGCGGAAAAGGGGAGTCCCTATGAAGCCTCAGTGCCCACAGCTGTTGTCACTTCTCTGCTGTGTTGACCATCATGGTTCCTGGCCACCGTGAACCATGACCTCCAGACTTCTGCCAGAACATTGGCGTCCACCCCTTTCTCTCTTTCCAGCCTGTAGAGACACAGTTAGGACTTGTTATAATCAGCTCTTTTAATGGTGGTTCCAACGCAGAGCTCTTGAGCTGCCGGCAACTCAGTTCTTGCCCTTCAGCCTCCTCCCTCACCTTCTGAAAGTACAAGATGTGACTGGTCCTGGGAAGGTGTCATGCAGTGACAGACTGTCCCTGGGTCCCCACCTCCTGACCCCCCAGCCCCCTTGCCAGGTCTTATCTTTCAGCTTCCTTTAGGGACCCCCATCCATCAGACTCACCTCAGTTCCCATCATAGGTTGGTTCACTTCCCTTTCCAGGGTCCTCAGCCTGCACAGAAAGCAGGCAGTGGTTTCCACATCCCCACTTCTCCAATGATGGCTGGGAGGCTGCTCCCCACTGGACACACTGGTCCTCTCTGGAGGGGGCACAAGCCCACCCAATCTGATACTGGCCCAGCAAGAGATGTTTTGGGGTGGGAGACTTGGCTTCAAATCACAGCCCCACCATTCACTGTGTGGAACCACTGGCAGGCTCTCAGCATGTTACATTGTTGAATGTCAGTTTCTGCACCCATGAGCAGGGCCTGGCGATTCCTGCTCTGCCTTTCTCAAGCAGCAGTTATGAAGGTCAGCTTTGGGGCTCTGGTTGAATAGTTCTCACCAAGCAAGGCATCTCTTCCCACCTTATGAAGCTCTTCCCACAAACTGTCCAAGCTGGCTCTGCAGAC